TATCGTTAAGAGGCTGCGACTCGCTGTTAGTCATAACCATTTACAGTAAAGGAGTTGGCAGGGGTGAGCAGGGAGTATGGGGAGAGGGGAGCCAGAGGATGGGGTAAGTATGGAGGGGGAGCCATTGGTATGGGATTAAATGAAAGGGGAAGACAGTATCTATGGGTGAGTGCTCAGATAAGAGTAATAGTCTGAAGAAATGAATGGAAGTAGAGATAAAATAGTAATCCATCGGGGAAAAGATTGCGCTACATATACATTCATATATATATATATACATATATATATATAATATATATATATATATATATATTATATATATATATTATATATATATATATATATGAATGTATATATATATATATATATATATATATATATATAATATATATATATATTATATATATATATATATATAAAGTAATTACTACCAAATACAAGAAACCAATCTCATTATGCTGTATCATAACTCATCAGTTGAAATACCCAAGATATAATTTAACTTTTACTACGATGAGGTAGCTACAGATCTCTCTTAACCTGACTCATTCATCATTTAGTGAGATGTTTATTGACTGAACTCCGAATTATAGTATAGAAATTATATTCCCCAGTGGCTAAATTTATGTTTGCTATTGAAACAATTAGGTTTGTTTCAATAGCATTTTATTTATACAATTATCAGATTTGAATACCAGTTTGCAATCTACGTAGCGATCACACCGTCTTCATGGTAAAAAATAATTTCCAGTATTACCTGTTCTAATACCTCTTTTGTGGTTATATATTCTCTCATGCATTCTTTCTCTAGAAATTACTTGCAGGAATGCTAATATACTCTTTAGTCAACGCTGTCATTTTACTTAGTCCTGACCTCTAACCAATTAGTATTTTTATTGCACCAGTAAGCTGCATTAACACCTTCACAAATACACATGTTTCTTCTTTCAATTTTTCATTATAAGGTAGAAATAAGCATTTACGAAATTATTTAGGTGTGAGATTTTGAACGTCGTGAATAGATTTTCTGGTATAAGAATTAGCGGAAGAAAAATAACTTTGGATATTGTTTTATAATTTCTAACCCTCGATATAACTTGGATTGTACCCAATATAATTTCTTAGTAACATCGACGAAATTACTGACTTCGTAATTTGTTGGTCACACGAGAAATGGTGCACTTAGGTGCTGAAGTGATGTCTTTTCTATACAACGTTGTTCAAATATTTCAATTAACATTACTGATCAGAACATCATGGGAGTTTACGCTCTATTTCCCGTGTAAATTTGAATTTGATAGATAGATGCAAACCATTTAATTTATCCTAATATGTTTAATAAATTTCTGGCTCTTCTGGGGACGCTAATAAGAAATCATCTTTGTATCTCAAAGAAAATTGGCCAGGTAATATCTGTGGTAATAAATCAGACTCAAAGTGTTCAACAAATAAGTTGGCTTAGAGAATTTCTCATAACAAAATCGTATGTTCATCCGAAAAAAAGCATCGTTAACTGAAAACACTTCATCAGTAGTGCAGAATCTCTTCAACTCAATAAATTTGCTTACTGGTACTGTTAGACCTAAAGTAATATCCGGTAAGACTTTAAAGAAAGTTTAAAGCTTCTTCAACTGGTACTCTAGTGAAAGACACATGATCATCAAAACTGCCAGGTTTTCCTAATAGCATACTTAAACATCAGAAGACAAATGTTTAGCTAACCATTTTGACAGTTTGTAAGTCACAGAATGAACATTACTTGTAATCAAACGTAATTGAAATCCACCCATATGTATTTTTGATATGCCTTAAAAGTAGGGAAGAGAGACATGCCTTAACCAGATGAGATATCCTTTAAACCTTGTATAAAGATTTATTGAAATGTTTAACCGTATCTTCAACAGGATTGCAGTTTAATCGTTCATAGGTCTCTGAATCATTAATGCTTGCCAGATTTTTCACCTCATAATTGTTATTTCTTCTATCAAATATTTTAACAGCGATCAGGTGACATCCGATCCAGGGATGGGACTCGATACCTCTTGTTTATGGTTTACTCATATCTTGTTTATTCCATCTGAAGAGGCTAAGTGATATGATGTAATGATACTGATTCTTAATATTTGTCAACTTGTGTTTTTTCTATCATTTATTCTCACGTCAGAATTAAATTATTCAGAATATATGTATATATATATATATATATATATATATATATATATATATATATATATATATATATATATATATATATATATATATATATATTATATACATATATATGAATAGGTGATTCATAAGTTTAGCAGAGAATATTAGAAAGACAGATAACGGAAGAACAAATGGTTTATATCGAGGTTATTTGCTGAGAAAAACTATACTACTGTCCTACTACAACCCGTCCTCATGATATCCATTGTTTTCTAACTAGTAATAGAGTGTGTTCTGCATATACAGTACATCCTCACTCGTATGCTGGAGCTCCATTTGAACCAGATCTATTATCTCGTTGGGTTAATTTACATTATTTTAGAGTTAGGTTAGTTTTTTTACCTGTTTTTTAGTTAATTATAAGTTACGTTACGCAATTTTGCATTACTTTTACCTTTATGGGCTTTTACCTTAAATTACTTTACGTTTACGAAAAGTTGTGTTATTTACGTTAAGTGTGCACTAGATTATTTTCTGACAAAGATGCACACAGTTATTTAACGGAATGATCACTATTTCTTTTAATATGGTAATATTCTTATTAACGGTACCTTACGTCATATATGTTAACTGTTACTTTATATCATTTTTACGTTAACATTACGTTACGTTATTTTGCGAAAACAAATTATTACGTTATTTAAAATTATTGTTACGCTTCGTCATTTTTAAATTAATGTTATGCTTCGTTATTTTAAAATTAACGTTAACATTACAAAAATGCAGATTTATTCAATTTACCCGCAAATTAGAAGAAGTATAAAAATGGATACCCGAGGAGGATATTACCTCATTGTAATATCCTTCTCATTTATACAGGATATTACCTCACGGTAACGGCGGCCTAGTAAACCTGTACGATACTTGTGGATGCAAGAAAGATAAAAAAAAAAAAAACACACTTTTGGGGTGAGGACGGGCTGCTTGCTACGGCTACTTCGTTTGTCTGGATATCTGAGTTCAGGGTAGTAAAGAAAGAGTGCTTGAAAGATATAGGACTTAAAAGAGAGAGACAGACAGACAGACAGACAGAGACAGAGACCGATAGACAGACTGAGCTCTTGATCGAGCAAGAAAAGTTAGACAAGAAAAGAGGAGAAAGAGAAAAAGACAAAAGTTTACAAGCAATGACTGTAAAAAAAATGTAAAAAAATATAAGTGAGAAAATACAGAGGACCATAACGAAATCAAAATAAAAGAACAAGCACTGTTTACTTAAAAACTTAAAAAGTAATGCAAGGATAAGGGATTTATGGGTAATTAGGAAACTGGCTGAAATAATGGAAGGACCTGCAGGCGTACTATATATATATATAATATATGTATATCAAGAGTTAAAGGTCTTTTCTGAAGGCAGTGTTTGTGCGGTACCAAAACGCAGGCTGGAACAATATACCCAGATGAAGAAAACACAGCTGGTCTAGAGTTCCACATCAAGAGTTCAAGAAAGCGTACACACCTTCTGCGTAAGACCTTTTCTCGTAAGTAGGTGTTGGGACGAATCAGAAGGTACTGGGACATCACAGAATTATCCTCCAATGTCTTTAAGGCCGGGAAGTAAAATAGAATCTTAATTAATCCCGACCTTAACGATCTTGGTGGGAGACGCCATCATGTCCCAGCACCTTCCGTGACAGTTCATTCAGGATCTTGGCTAGAAAAAGGAGAGGCTTAGAGTCCTACGTAGTAATGGCCCGATTATAACAAGACTCTCTGTATGAGGGTGATGTACGGGGGTTACAATCAGCCCAGCGCTACGGTGGAGTAAGCGCAACTCTCTCTTTTGCACGACCAAATCCACTTTCTCATTTTTCTCAGTCCGAATTAGCCACAACACCGTGAAAGAAACAAAAGGCATCAGTCGCCATACCAACGGGACGGCCAACTGTTCCAACACTGGTGACCAAGACCACGACTTACGAGCTCACTTTCAGAGGGCTCCAATAAAGCTAATTTTCCCCGTCGAGGAGACTAGGAGCTTTATTGTAACAAGTTGTGCCTCATAAGCTGTTCATGAAGACATGATCTCGTCACTTTACTTAATAAAATAAACTGCTGGGAAGCCACTTATTTTAAAAGAGTAAGAGAAGAGTGAGGAAGAAGAGGTGGCATCAAGGCCTTAACAAACACAGAAAACGTTCATGCCTTATACGCCATTCCAGCATTAACCATCATAATACCATATCGGTTTTAAATAAATATATATATGTATATATATATCTATATATATAGTCTCTGGCACCCCCTCCCCTACCTGTGACAGGGGTGGCAAACGCACGGGCCGTATATATATAATTGGGCAGGAAGCGGTGTTGTAGGGGAAAGATTATTGGTGAGGGTTGGTGTTCCATGGATAATAAAATGACTTTTGGGAAAAGGAATAGAGAGATGAGACAGTAGAACTTAAAGCAGCTCACATCTACTCACATACATGCCACTCGACCCTACCCTTCCACTTGAGGCGATCAGAGGCGCTCCTAATTCTCAGATTAAAAAAAATACATACAAAATATCACTTCAAGCACATCTGAGTCAACAGTACAGCTTTCGAAGTAAAACCAAAACGAATGGGAGGGTTGGGTGAGTAGCTCAAGGAATGGAGGATGGACAGAGGTGTAATGAAGTTTTTTTAAACTGGCAATGTAGAGGAAAGAGGAAGGCTAGAATGTTGGGAAGAGGTTTGTATACAAGATAACACATTGTTTATCTTAAGGCCCAAAGTCGGTCACCCCGTCACAGATGGAGAGTAAATAGAATTGGTGACTCTTATGGGAGATTGAATACTCTACCTAACAATGGTATCGCATCGGAAACTTGAGGCAATTTTTCGGCTACAACAGTCATGAAAACCGTCAGAGAAAGCAGGATTGTGATTTCTGAAAGAAAAGGAAAAAAGATACACCATACATGAACTTCGAAAATTGGGAGGGTTTGGTTTAATTAAAAAGTAAAATAAAATGGTCATGAAAAATATTTTATGTAGTTAAGAAGAACGTCGAGTCTCAGAATAGTGATAATTAACACCATTTCTGTATAAGAACCGGTGTTGCTTTACACCAGTGCTCGATCAGAAACGGTGTAAACTAACACCATTTCTGATCTGAACAAGTATAGAGTAGCAACACCAGTTCTCGATCAACATACGAGAACAGATAAATGCTTGGGTTTAATTAAGTTGAAATAAGAAACAGTTGGAGAGGTATGGCGGTGCGCTTTAAAATATGTAGGTGTGTCAGTAATGGCACATTCTAGAGAATTTTTTTTTATCGTGGGGGCAGGGAGCAACATGGAAAAAATATGACATGAAACATATTAAAATAGATAAAAGTGCATTGCCAGTTTCATATATTCTCCAAGTATCACGCACTCCTAAAGTCCTGGAGTAATGTCATTAATATCCACACTGAACATTCATGGTAGGTGAGGTCCTGACTGTTTTTGTCTTGTGGCCGACTTCAGTATGTATAACAATACTTGAAAATTAAACTAAAAAAAAGAGAGATTAAATTGTGAAAAGTTGTGGCAAAAATATATATAACAACTCAGTTCATGTCTCAATATCATAGAACCTGACATATGTGGATAAATTAAAACGAAAATAATCTACAGTCATAAGTGTGGGCTGCTGATCTACTCATATAGAAATAATCATTTCGACTTATGAAAAGGAGGACCAATAGGTGTAGAAGAATATGAAGACGAATGGTAACCGCTAAGTCGTCTGAGAGTTGATTGGCTGAAGGGACTCTGACGTATCAATGACGTAAGAACGCATGACTGACGTAACATGACGACTCAACGGAGTAGAAACCAAAACGGAAAAAAAAACAGAAGTGAATAAATGACAGTGAGTGTGAAATATGGTAGAGTGATCAGTTGTTTTTTCTGATCCGTTTATATCACAGACGGCGAGATAGGTGGAACAAGCTACTGGCTACGTTGCTCTTTACATACATATGAGAGGAACAGCATCGGAAGTCTCCGGTATATTTTCGGTCACAATGTTTAGGAAAACAGTTAGCGAGAGCAGAATGGTGACGCCTGAAAAGGAAGAGTTGACCGTGTCAATGCTATTGGTTATCAGGTTCCCCGGGAATTTGGGGAGAGAGGGGACAGATAAGGCAGGGCAGGGAAAGGGGAATATATACAACAAATATATCATCCGAAGATAAAACGGGAAAAAAAGAAGTGAACAAAAATACATCAAAATATAGCAAATATAGTATCCGTGAGAATCCTAAATATTAGAAGGGGTTAGCTGAGAATTCGATAATTATAAAATATGTATGATATATATATATATATATATATATATATATATATATATATATATATATATATATATATATATATATATATGTATATATATATATATATATATATATATATATATATATATATATATATATATATATATATATATATATATATATATATATATATATAAATTTTTAATTAGCTAATAGACATTAACATTTTTTTTTTATGTAGCGGACACCAAAATAGTGCCAGCGTAACATGAGGGAGGAGTAATGTTACACAAACAAACAATCCGCAGAGTAAGATTGAATATTCCTACTTAGTGTGTGATTTATATCTGATTCTGGGGCCTAGATAGAGGAGGAAGTTCAACAAACGGTGTTGGTCGCAGGATGATAGAGGCCGATGCACAATTTGCACGCCAAGGATGACTCCTCCCTATTAGATATGATAAGAACAGAGGAGAGGAGCGTGTCGGGAAAAGGAAAAGGGACAATGAGAAGGAAGATACTGCGCTAGGTTTAAGAGCAGTAAGATAGTGTCGCTGCTTTATGAACAGGAGGGTAGTGTGGCTGGTTTATGGAGGGTAATGTGGGTGCTTTATGAAGAGAGAAAAGAAATGTGAGGAAGAGAGAAGGGAATAGGGGATTATGTAATGACTAGCTTCAGAAAAGGCATGGAAGGTGGTAGGTGAGGACGTGGGGTGTAAGAAAAAAGGAGGAGAGAAACGGGAATGAGTAGATGACTTAAAGAGGGATGGGGGGTTAAAAGATGAACGAATGACGTAAGGGTAAGGGGAAAAAAAGAAATGGGACCTGAAATATATGAAATATCAATTTATAAAAAGACTGAAGGAATTCAGAGAGTGACCATCACATGAAATGTATTGTTTCTAAAATATTTCCATGAAATTCTCTGAAAGAATGTAATGCATAAATTTCACCTAATAATAATTTCCCCAAATATATTTTTCACTCAATCCCTTTTTATTATCTGAGGAAATAACTCATTCTTATATATCGAGTGGGAAATTTATTTTTTTAAATCTAGATAAATCAGTTCCCCAAAACTCAAAGAATGACGTCCCATCTATTGAGAATTTTTCCCTGAAAATCACACTCTTTTTTTATATCCGAGAAAAATAATTTTTCAAACGGTCATAAAGCTGAAAAATAAGAACAATTCATATATAACCCGGACTAGAGAGAAAACTTTAGAGAACGTATAGAATACAGGAATATGGCCTGTGCTGAACTTTATCCTGTTACAAATGAGCCAAATAATGGTTTTTCTTTCCATGTTTCTTTCTGCCTTCATAATGGCCCAGGACGGACAGAAATATCATATAAAGTTTCCTCTAAAATTGTGAGTTATTTGTAAAGGATAATTGAGAACTGATTTTTGCTAAGTATTGAGCAAGAGTGAGTGTATGTGGCGGGTTCATATCAATTTTATTAGAAAAGGTCTCAGAGTCAAAAGAAAACTAAAACTCTTTCTAATTATAATTTCAAACGTTTTAGTTGAAGAAAATAATATTTAAGATAATTATTGTAATGTTCATTGTTATACCGAAATTGAACATTTTTCAAAATACACAAACATACACACACACACACACACACACACACACACACACACACACACACACAGCATTCCGACATCATAATAAAGAATCGTTCAGAACCCTGTACACCTGTACGTAGGTCTGTATTGGAGTATGCAGCACAAGTTTGGAAACCACACCAGCAAAGCACGTAACGAAACTAGAGAAACTGCAAAGGTTTGCAGCAACACTAGTCCCGGAGCTAAGGGGCATGACCTACGAGGAGAGATTAAGGGAAATCGACCTGTTGGCACTGGAGGACAGGATAGGGGGAATATAATAACGACATAAAATACTGAGAGAAATCGACAAGGTGGACAGAGTCAGGATGTTCCAGAGATTGGACACAACAAAAATGGCGTCACAGTTGGAAGTTGAAGATTCAGATGAATCACAGGGATGTTAGGAAGTATTTCTTCATTCTCAGAGTTATCAGGAAATGGAATAGACTGGGAAGTGATATAGTGGAGGCATGATCTATACAAAGCTTTATGAAGAGGTATGATAAAGCTCATGGAGCAGAAAGAGTGACTTACTACCAGTGAAGAGGCAACCACAACTAGGTGAGTACACACACACACACACACATACACACACACACACACACTCACACACACAAGTATAGGATGAACCAGCGAGACTGGACCTAGTATTCACCTTGAGTAGTGCAGATATTGAAGACTTCACATATGAAAGACCCCTTGGGGCCAGCGATCATGTGGTTTTACGCTTTGAATACACAGTAGAGTTACAAGTGGAGGGGAAAGTAGGAAGGACCGGGCGAATGAAGCCAAACTAAAAGAAAGCGGACTACACGGGAACGAGGAACTTCCTGAACGGGGTTCAGTGAGACAGAGAACTGGCAGGGAAGCCAGTAAACGAAATGGTGGAATATGTAACAACAATATGCAAGGAAGCTGAGGAGAGGTTTGTACCCAAGGGTAACAGGAATAATGAAAAAGCCAGGATCAGCCTGTGGTTTACCCAAAAGAGCGCGGAAGCCAAAACCAAGTGTGCTAGGGAATGGAAGAAGTATAGAAGGCAAAGGATCCAGGAGAATAAGGAGAGCTGTCGTAGAGCCAGAAATGAATATGCACAGGTAAGAAGGGAGGCCCAACGACAATATGAAAATGACATAGCAGCGAAAGCTAAATCTGACCCTAAGCTATTATACAGCCACATCAGGAGGAAAACAACAGTCAAGGACCAGGTAATCAGGGTAAGGAAGGAAGGAGGAGAGACAACAAGAAACGACCACAAAGTATGTGAGGAACTAAATATGAGATTCAAAGAAGTGTTCACAGAGGAGACAGAAGGGACTCCAGAAAGACGGAGAGGTGGAGTACACCACCAAGTGTTGGACACAGTACACACAACCGAAGATGAAGTGAAGAGGCTTCTGAGTGAGCTAGATACCTCAAAGGCAATGGGGCCGGATAACATCTCTTCATGGGTCCTGAGAGAGGAAGCAGAGGCGCTATGTGTACCCCTAACAACAGTATTCAACATATCTATCGAAAATGGGAGATTGCCTGAGGCATGGAAGACAGCAAATGTAGTCCCAATTTTTAAAAACGGAGACAGACATGAAGTACTAAACTACAGACCAGTGTCACTGACATGTATAGTATGCAAAGTCATGGAGAAGATTATCAGGAGAAGAGTAGTGGAACACCTAGAAAGGAATGATCTCATCAACAGCAGCCAACATGGTTTCAGGGACGGGAAATCCTGTGTCACAAACCTACTGGAGTTCTATGACAGAGTGACAGCAGTAAAACAAGAGAGAGAGAGAGAGAGGGTTAGGTAGACTGCGTTTTCTTGGACTGTAAGAAGGTATTTGACACAGTTCCACACAAGAGATTACTGCATAAGCTGGAGGACCAGGCAGGGATAACAGGGAAGGCACTGGAATGGATCAGGTAATACCTGTCAGGAAGACAACATCGAGTCATCATACGTTGCGAAGTGTCAAAGTGGGAGCCTGTGACGAGCGGGGTTCCACAGGGATCA